AGTGTCATTGGACAAGCTCTTCTCTATGCTTTACTGGTCACCTCTCCAGGTTCCAGCACAGGACACCACTGGCCTCTTTTCTGAGCAACACAACCCTCCTGTGGGGGTCCCAGATTAGAAAATAAAGTCACTTTTCTTTATGTAGCTGTCAATCCCCAAAGGACTCTTTGGCCCTTTCTAGTTTTGGCACAATTGTGGTCTAGTTAGGATCTACCCACCCAGGCCCCTGCTTCAGAGTCTCAGAGACTCAGAAATACAATGTCATTTAAATAGCAAAAGAAAACCTCGAATCAGCAATCCACATTTCTACCATAGTTTCCACATTACCAGTTATTTGAAATCATTTGCTATACTCCTTATCACTAAGATAAAGCCCCAAAAGGTTACAGCACAGAATTTTAGGCTGGAGAGGCAAACAGCTCCTGGATGAGTCACAGCATGAGTTTATGGAACTGAAATCCCCCAGGGTTGGTTTATTGTTGTTATTGTTTTTCCTTCTGCATGTTTCTTTCTTTATCTTGTTTGGAGTCTAGAGATCAAACCTAGGGCATGCTAAGCAAGTAGGCTACCACTGAGCCACAGGTACAACCCAAATTCATTTGGGTTCTAATTTTCACATCCTGACACTATTTTTTCAATGTTTCTCAAAGTTAGATGTGCACAAGAATCACCTGAAAGACTTCCTTTTTTTGGTGGGGGGGTTGTTTGTTTTGGGGGTTTTTGTTTGTTTGAGACAGATTTATGCAGTCCAGGTGGCCTCAAGTGTTGAAATTACAGGTATGACTACTCAGATGGCTCTCCTGGAAGACTTTTTCTTTCTTTCTTTCTTTCTTTCTTTCTTTCTTTCTTTCTTTCTTTCTTTCTTTCCTTCCTTCCTTCCTTCTTCTTTCTTTCTTTTTCTTTTTTTTGTGGTGGGCTACTGAGGTTTAAACACAGGGTCTGGTGCTTGCTAAGTTGGGGCTCTACTGCCAAGCCTTATTTCCAGTCCTTTTCTGTTCCGGTTATTTTTGAGATGAGGATTTCATCCTGCACAGGAAAATGCCTAGAGAGGGATCTGCCTGTTTTAGTCTTCATAACATAGCTGGAATGATAGGTGCATATCACCATGCCCAGCTTCTTCCACTGAAATGAACTCTGTTGAACAGAGTCTCTGAGACTTCTCTGATTAGGCTGTCCTGGTTAGATTACAAGTGTAAACCACCAGCACCTGGCTCCTGGAGTATTTGTAGGTGAGGGGATGGGCAGGCGGGGGGGGGGGGCGGGGCGGGGGGGGGGGGGGGCGTCCCGGGGAGTGAGCTCAGGGTCTGGGTGCTGTCCCTGAGCTTCTTTTGCTCAAAGGTAGAACTCTACCACTTGAACCACATCTCCACCTCCAGCTTTTTCAGTAGCTTAGTAGAGATAAGAGTCTCACAGACTTTCTTGCCTGGGCTGGCTTCCAACTGTGATCTTCAGATCTCAGTTTCACGAGTAACTAGGATCACAGGCTTGAGCCACCAATGCCCCTGACTTCCTGGAGGATGTTTAAAACACCAATTGGCTTGGCATAGTAACACATACCTGTGATCCTTGCTTCTGGGTAGGGGCAGGTGGATAGGAGGAACTCTGCTCCAGGCCAGCCAAGGGGGGGGGGAGGGAGGGAAGGAAGGAAGGAAGCAAGCAAGCAAGCAAGCAAGCAAGGAAAGGAGGGAGGGAGGGGAAAAATCCTAGCTACTCCTGAGGCTGAGGTCTGAGGATTATGGTTCAAAGCCAGCCCGGGCAGAAAAGACTGTGAGACTCCTATCTCCAACAATCTACCAGAAAACCAGAAGTGGCGCTGTAGCTCAAGTGGTAGAGCACTTGCCTTGAGCTGAAGAGCTGAGGGACAGTGCCCAGGCCCAGAGTTCAAGCCCCATGACCGACAAAAAGAAAAGAAAAGAAAAGAAAAGAAACACCTAAAGCAAAAGGAATAGGGACATGGCTCAAGTGGTACAGCACTTGCCTAGCATGAGGTCTTGGGTACTGTAAACTTTAATCCCCATTACTACCAATAAAGGGAAAAAAAATTGCTAGGCTCAAAGACCAGAATTTCATATTACTTAGGTCATGTGTGGGAACTAGGCTTTTTTTTTTTTTAAATAAGATTTCACTATGCAGCTCAGACTAACGTTGAGCTCTAGATCCTCCTATTTCAACCTTCTAAGGAAGGGGCTTACTGTGCCACTACATTTGATTACTGTGCATCTTGATTTGTTATTTCTATATAAAAAGTGGATTCATGATTTTTCTGTTTTTTGGTGGTAGTGTTTTGCTTTTATGATGTTGGGCTTAGAACCCAGGGCCTTTAAATCCTAGGGAAGCATTCTACCATTAAGCTATATCTTCAGCCTTTAGATTTATTTGTTTGTGTTTATGCTAGTTCAAGCTCAGAGCTGAGCACAGCCTTCCACCCTCCACCCCACACACACACACACACTGGTAGTGGTTTACTATTTGAGCCACATCCCTATTTATGCTCTTTTGCTGGTTAATTAGAAATGAGAGTCTTGGAATTTATCTGCTCAGGCTGGCTTCGAACTGTGATTCTCAAGTCTCAGCCTCCTGAGTAGCTAGGATGATAAAATGTGAGCCATCAGTACTAGGCAAGATATTTAAATTTGTAGGCATTGGTTTTTTTTTGTTGTTGTTTGTTTTTGTGGGGCTTGAACACTGGGCCTGGGACCTGTCCCACAGCTCTCCAGCTCAAGCTGAGTGCTCTACCACTTGAGCCACAGCATCACTTCCAGTTTTCTAGTGGTTAATTAGAGATAAGAGTCTCATGGACTCTCCTGCCCAGGCTGGCTTTGAACTGTGATCCTCAGATCTCAGCATCCTGAGTAGCTAGGCAAGGCAAGTACTCTACCACTAAGCCACCTTCCAAGCTCCCATGTTTAAATTTTTATATGATGATTTTCCTCTTATTTGTTTCATAAGAGTGAAGCAAGTTAATGACTAATATTCTCTAAGTTTAGAATTTTTTTTGTATGTGAGTTCAGAGGGAGGGGTATCAGAGTAAATTTAAGATAAAAAAATAAAAGTAGCTAAAGGTTTACTTTCTTGCATCTACAGAACATCACAAGCCAGGATACCATAAAGACACTTGGACATCCATGTTCATTGCTGCATTATTCACAATAGCCAAGTGATGGAAACAGCCCAGATACCCTACAATAGATTAGTGGATCCAAAAAATATGGTATTTATACATAATGAAATTTTACATAGCCATTATTAAGAATAATATTATGTCATTTGCAGGGAATGGATGGACCTACAGCAAATCATGTTAAGTGAGGTAAGCCAAGCTCAGAGAGACCAATAGCATACATTTTCTCTCATATGTGGAAGCTAGATCTAAAATATACTGTGACATGATAAACTATACAGGACTCTAGGCATTCACACAGTGAGACCACAGGAGGATATTCTTGGGAGAGGAACATAAAGGCACAATGTTTTCATGCCTCTGATCACATAAAAATATTTATTGATATTAATTCCAATTAATGAAAATGAGTTTTTTCTCTTTTGGTCTTGTTTGTTGGTTTATGTGTCTTTGGGCAAAGCTAGGGGGGGGCACACAGAAATGGAGGGACAAAGGGTGAACAAATGCATCAGTGGTACTCAGTAGACACAGGTTGAAAATGAATATACAACTTGTGGGCAGGAATGGGAGGGAAAAACTGGGAGAGAGCAAAGGAAGGGGTGACACTGTCCAAAAAGAAATGTACTTATTACTTTAGTTATGAAATGATAACTCCTCTCTGTAGATTACCTTCATAATAACAATAAAAGGTTAAAAATTAAAAGAAAGAAAATAGCTAAAGGTCTAGATTAAAATGACGTATCTAGAATGCTTAGTGACAGGTGATTTTTTGAAAAAATATATTTGTAACCATATTACTTCCTGAGCATTATTAGCTTGTGGGTAGTTCTCTTTCTTCTACCAAAGATTTATGAACTTTGTTTTGTGGTTTGTGTGTGTGTGTGTGTGCGCGCGTGTGTGGTGTGTATGCCGGTCCTTGGGACTTGAACTCAGGGCCTGCTCACTGTTCCTGAGCTTTTTTTGTGTGTTCAAGGTTAGCACTGTACCACTTGAGCCACAGCTCCACTTCTCGCTTTTTGTTGATTAATTAAGGATTAGAATCTCACGGACTTTCGTGCCTGGGCTAGCCTTGAACAGCGATCCTGAGGAGCCAGGATTACTGACTGCGTCACCAGTGCCCAACTTTTTTTTTTTAAACTGAGTCTTCTTTGTATTATTTTTCTTAAGTTTTCTTACTGCTTTAGAGATGATATACAGAGGGGTGATAATACGTCAGGTAATAAGCACCTTTCCTTTCGCACAGTGACAAAGGTTTGTATTTCTAACAAATTCTCCGAGGATGGCAACAGCTACCTCTGCCCGAGGACCACACTGGGACACTGCAGTTGTGCGATCTGCCACCCTCCTCCCCCTCCTTCCCCCCCCCCCCACCCCAGCGCTCCGGATAGCAGAGGGAAGGGGAGTGTATACCCGAGACCTGGTTCTGGGAGCTCCTAGGACCGATGACTCGTGGCTCGAGTTGGCTCCGAGAGTTACTTGCCCAGGACCACCTGCGACTCTCCCCACGCCCCCCCCCACACGCCCATCAGTGAGGCCCCGCCTGCGCAGCCTCCGGGTTCGGAGCGCGGCCACCCCGCCGCCCGCGAGCCGGCCGCCCGCACAGCGCGCCCCTGCACACTCCGACGCCGGCAGCCTGCGGGGCGGCCAGGATCCTCCAGTCTGTTTGAGCGCTGATAGCCTGGCCACACAGACTGCACCCCGAGGTGGGCTGGTGCACCCAGCCCGGAGCCGCAGCACGCCCGGCGCACCTGGCCCCGGAGGGCCGGGGCGGGGCGGTCGAGTTGCCACACAGGCCACGCCCCTATCCACGTCGGTCAGGCCCCTAGCCACGCCCCCAGGCCACGCCCCCGCCCGCCCCGTCGGGAAACCCGGGACCAGCGCGGCGGATGCGGCTCTGCTTGGCGCCACCGGTAAGCGACTCAGGGAGCCGACGACCCTCTCCCCGGCCTCGGCCCCCAGAGTTCTCCCGCTCCTCAGGCTCGCTGCGGCCCTACCTCCCCTTCCCTCTTCCTCCTCTTCCTCCTCACATCCCCCCTCCCACCGGTAAAATGAAGGGGCTGGACCAGACTGGTTCCACCTGCCTTCTCTCTGGGCTGGTGGGCCTCCAACTCCGCCCTCGGTGGGACCCCCACCCCTCACCCCCAGCAGCGGGTGTCTAAGGAACTAAGGGATGAATAGGGGAGCCTAGGCCACTGGAACCTGGACGGCGAGAGAGGGCTTGCTCTCCCTCCCTCCAGGGGACTCCGCCCACTTCTCACCCTCCCCCCCCCCCCCCCCCCATTGCCCTCCCTGGACTGAGATATACCCTACCTCAGAGAGCGTCTCTCCTGTCCTGCCACTGCCACGGCAGCCCCCGAGCAGAGGTGAGCCAAGAGAAACGTTGCTGTTGGGGGTCCCTACCTTGGTTGCCCCCCCCCACCTCCCCTGGAGGTTCGGGTCTTTGCTGGAGCGAGGAGGGAGCTGTGTGATATCATATGGGAGAGGGCTGATGCCTGTGTGACCGTGACTGTCAGCCACTTCCTGATTTTCCCTCACTTGTTCCCAGCCTGCCTGTGACAGAAAGGAGAATCTCTTGGTTACCTGCCCCCAGGGCCAGCCATTCTAGACCCAGAGGTCTGCTGCGGGTCAGCAGTTCCTAGAACAGACCACGTCCATTCGCCAGGAACTCATTGCAGGGTTTCCAGGCTCTGCTCTTAGCTCATCTCTAGACCCACAATTTACAGGCACTAGGTGAGGCTAGCAACTTTAGACACACCAAAGAGCTCCCGGGGCGTACACTCATCTTCTGAGTCTTGGGTGCACTACTTACTATATAGGCCCTGTTCTCTGCAGACAGTGAGCTGTGTCCCTGCCCATCAGAGGAAGGAATAGAAGGATAAGATAAAGTGGGCATTGGTGACTCACACCTGTCATCCTAGCTCCTCAGAAGACTGAGGTCTGAGAATCTGTCAGCCTGGCAGGAAAGTCTGTGAGACTCTCATCTCCAGCTAACCAGCAAAACACATGGAAGTAGAGTGGTAGTTGAAGTGGTAGAGCACCAGCCTTGAGTGAAACTGCTGAGGGATAACACCCAGAACCTAAAATTCAAGCTCTAGTATCAGCACAGTTTCTCATAAAACAGTGAGACAGGCAAATTTATGTGATAGCTGAAATGAAGCAAGACAAGGGTTTTGAAATATACTTATTTAAATTTTCCAGTCTAGCCAGTATCACTGCAAGTACTTCCCCGCTTTAGTACCTCAAGGGCACCAGACACTAGGGCAGGACAGGGCTATTTATTAAAAGGGAGGGAAGTGTCTGGGCTCCAGTGGCTCTCTCCTGTAATCCTAGCTACTCAGGAGGCTGAGATCTGAGGATTGCAATGGGAAGCCAGCCAGCATGGGCAGGAAAGTCCATAAAGACTCTTATCTCCAATTAATCACAGAAAAAGCTTGAAGTGGCTCTGTTGCTCAAGTGGTAGAGTGCTAGCCTTGAGCAAAAGGAGCTCCAAGACAGCCCCCAGGTCCAGAGTTCAAGCCCCAGGACTGGCAAAAAAAAAAAAAAAACAAACAGTGGGGAGAGAGGGAAGTGTGGTAGAACTGTGAAGGAGATGGACTACTGAGTAATCACTGTCTATAGGCAGTAGCATAGCTGACTCTCACCCACGGCAACACAGAAGAGCTCCGGCCTAAAAGAGAAGGCCTTAAAATGTCAGGTGTCCTCTGAGATCAGAAAAAAGCTCAGCTGGGAGAAACCTGAACAGGAGATAAGATCATAGGTTTAATCCACACTACCACTGCCCAGAACAGAAGTCAGTCCTAGGAGGGGCAGCTCTTCCTCATGCTGGGGTTTCTCATGTAAGGAAGCAGTGGGTATAATGAAGGCTGCTGAAGGCTGACTCAGCTCTGTCACTAATTTAGCTGCATAACCTTGGCCAAATCACATAAACACTCCCTTGGTGGGAAGCAAATGAGAAGGTGTATATGAAAGTGTTTCGGTGGTACTCCAAGCACTAGGCAAGTAGAAGACAGTATTATGTCCTAGTTAAGGGAGTAGGCTTTAGGGCCTCAGTGCAGATCTACCTCTGCTACTTCCTTAGCTGTGTGACCTTGGTCCTGTTGCTTAACTGCTCTGAGCTTCAGTTTCCTGCTACGTAAAAGAAGGAAGATAACTGTAAATTGATATGGTAAGTAGTGATATTAAAAATAGGGCAGGGAGTGTGGCTTAGTGGTAGAGTGCTTGCCTAGCATGCATGAAGCCATGGGTTCTATTCTTCCTCAGTACCACAAAAACAAACAAACAAAAAGCCAGAAGTGGCTCATGTGGTAGAGTGCAAGCTTTGAGCAAAAGAAGCTAAGGGACAGTGTCCAAACCCTGAGTTCAATCCCCAAGACTGGCTAATAATAACAATAATAATAGATTGTATATCACAGAATTGAGAAAAATGTAGGGGTGGGTCAAAGGGGGATGAAGATGTTGAAGGGGTGACAGAGATCAAGATGAACTGCATACATAAACTGCTTTGTTAAATGGCAAAAAAGTTCATACATAACCCAAAAATTAAGAAAAGTGAGGGAAGGGTTGGATTGGAGGGGTGGGGGAAATGTTGAAAGGGGTCGCATTAATTGAGAAGTACTGTATTCATAAACTGCTTTGTTGAATGGCAACTCCTTTGTATAGCTGCTTAAAGATAATAACAAATATTCAAAATTATTTTTAAAAAAGGATAGAAGCTGAATGTTGATGGCTCACATATGTAAGTCTAGCTATTCAGGAATCTGAGATGTCAGGATCATGGTTCAAAACTAGCCCAGGCAGGAAAAACTGTTAGACTCTCCTAATTAACTACCAAAAAGTAAGAAATAGAGCAGTAACTCAAGTGGTAGAACTCTAGTCTTGAGGGGAAAAAAAGCCCAGGGACAGTAGTTAGGCTCTGACTTCAAGCCCCAGGACAAAAAACTGGGTCTTAAAAATAAAGTAATAATAGAAACTGGATGCTGGTGGCTCACATCTATAATCCTAGCTACTCACAAAACTGAGATCTAAGGACTGAGGTTCGAAGCCAGCCCAGGCAGACAAATACATGTGACTCTTATCTCCAGTTAACCAGCAAAAAGCTGGCAGTGGAGGTGTGGTTCAAGTGGTAGAGTGCCAAACTTGAGTGAAAAAGGCCAAGTGAGAATGAGAGGCCTTGAGATCAGGCCCCAGACTCATACAAAATAAATAAAATAAAATCTAAATAAATAATATAATGATAGACCGAGATACAGTGTGGCACACACCTGTTAAGCTACTAAGGAAGCTGAAATTGGAATTTAGGATTCTAGAGAAAAAAGAAAAAAATGATGAAGATAGTATTGCACTAAACATCTTCTAGCACTATGGACTATCTCCATCTGAAAGTGAAGCTAAGGACCAGAGTAACTGTGCGTGCGTGCGTGCGTGCGTGCGTGCGTGTGTGTGTGTGTGTGTGTGTGTGTGTGTGTGTGTGTGTGTGTGCCAGAGGGACCCAGTGAATGGCCAAAGCTTGGGTGAACTTAGCTCTTCATATAGCCTCTGCCCCTTTTCTGGGCAAGTCCCAAATGTCTACTCTCATTTGATGGGGATGAGAGTAGGGATTTGAATGAGCAGGAGGTCAAGTGCAGGGCAGTGCCTGTCTCTGTGTCCAGCTCAATGCTGTAATTGTGCTGTGTAAAAGGCTTGTGTGGAGAACAAGGATGTGTTCAGTCCAGAGAGAAAAAGGGCTAAGAAAAGAATCTTTCCTGGCACCTGAGAGTCCTGTGGGGTCAAGTTATTCTCTAGTACCCTGCCTGGCCTGGGCCTGAATCTTAGGTGGAGATTTGAAGGAGGGAAAAAATCCAGTCTTCACTCTCAGCTCTGCATATAATAGAGAGTATAAAACAGACAGCAGGGCAGGAAGTAGCCTAACCACACACCTCAGAGCACAGAAGTCAGGACAAGCATATGAATACAGAAAATTTGGTGGCTAGGATTTAAGGATTGAGGAGCAGGAGAACAGGATGTAGGCATTTGGGCCTGTGGGCTCACCTTCCTCTATGAAATCTAGTGGAAAGTCCCACTGAATGTGAGCCTGGGTAGTGAGGAAAACTTGGGAACAAATAAACATACCTAGATACTGTGGGGCATCGATCTCACTGTCTTAGTCTAGGAAGAATGGGTAGGATTTGAAAGATCAGAAACATAGTCTGCTAAGCAAGAAGATATGGGCAAGGCTTGGAGGAAGGAAGGAGTCAGTACAAGCATCTAGTTGTATAGAAAGCAGACTTCTCTGCACATTTCTGCCACAATCCAAGAGTGCACCAGGCACCCATGACTCGAGCCTGTAATCCTGGTTATTCAGGAGGCTGAAATTTGATGATCACACTTCAAAGCCAGCCTAGGCAGGAAAGCCTGTGAGATTCATATCTCCAATTTAATCACCAAGAGACCGGAAGTAGAGCTGTGGCTCAAGTGATAGAGTATTAGCCTTGAACAAAAAAGCTCAGGGACAATGCCCAGGCCTTGAATTCAGGCTTCAGGACTAGCCAAAAAAGAGTGCTGAACTTAACATGAATTCCACTGTCCTGACTGTGGTTATGAAAAGGAAGAAAGGCCCAAGGCAAAAAGACTAGCAGGCAGTTTGCAGGCATCAGATGCTATGTGATAAAGGAATAAATAGTTCAGATGATGATTTAGAGAAGAGAGAATGGGAAGGTCCAGGAGGTAGAGTGGGCAAAAGGTAGATCCAATACTGAGAAGGATTAAATACTGCATCTGAGAGTGGGCCTGGCCTTGGACACTGGAATTGAGGAGTCTCAAGGGTTCCAAATTCCCGATAGCAATGGAGAAAGTGGATGGCTGGTTTACCTAGGAGGCTGTATGCCAGTAGATGATTAGTATAGACTGTGCAGGCTAAATATCCATGTTCCTGTGTTAAGTTCCCCAATAAAGAGCAGACTGCTGGGTAAGGAGAGAAGGGACAACTTCAGTTCCACCCTCTTGCATCACCCCCTCCAATCTGGAGACTGGTCGCTGCCATTAAGGAACACTCCATCCTGTTACTTTCCTATATTGTCCCTTCCCTTCCTCTCCACCACCTCCCAGCCCACAGAAACCAACAGACTCAATAAAAGTTCAGAGTCCTTTTGTGGCCACTCTCAAGCCTAATCTGATTGTCACAAGGTTCCTGGGTGATTAGATTGGCCCATATCATTCCACCTTCAGCCCTTCTTCAATCTTGGAGTCCTAAAGGTAAATAGAGGCATACCTCTCCTTCACCTGGCAGGTACTGGCGATTCACCAGGAAAACCCTATGAGCTGTGGAACTTCTTTTCTGGCCACTTATGATTTTTATTTTTAGTGACATGCTTGGCATAGGTCAGCAAAGATTTAGTATCTTCTAATTTGTGCTGATCTGGAGAAGGGTGAGCAAAGTTGGGTTGGTTTTAGGTAACTTCAGCTTACTATTTTAGGTAAACATAAAAATGAACCTAGGTATGATGGGGTGGAAATTTGATAGACTGGCTGTTGAAATAACTTTCAGTGCATCTTTCTTGGAAGATAAACCGCAGTACTGCAACTTGGGCCTTGGGGAAAAGCCCAAGTGTCTTGAAGGTGTGTAATTAAGGGAGAAAGTGAAAACCTCCCAGCATTCTGTAATCAAAAGGGTCCAATGTGGCAAGAGAGCTTGGGAGAGAATGATTTGCTCTTCTGTTCACGGTATGACTTGAGGACCTGTGAGATAAGTGCTGTGCTTGATAAAGTGAAGAGAGAGCCTTTCTCAGAGAGAAAGCACAGCCATTTGACTAGCAGCCTTTCCCATTGGGAACTTGAAATTGACCTGTCTCTTCCTCATCATCCCCTCAGTCAAGTTCCATGCTCCTGTACCCTTCACCTATCCTTATCTTCTCTCTTTCTTTCTCTCCCTTTTCTTTCTTCCTTCCTGCCTTCCTTCCTGCCTTCCTGCCTGCCTGCCTGCCTTCCTTCCTTTCTTCCTTCCTTCTTTCCTTCTTTCCTTGTATTGATATTGAGGCTTAAACTCAGGAGCCTAATGCTCTCCCTTAGCTTTTTCACTCAAGCTTGGTGCTCTGCCACTTGAGTTACACTTCCATTTCTGGGGGGGCGGGTTTGATCATTATTTGGAAATAAGAGTCTCAGAGTTTCCTGCTTGGGCTGGCTTTGTACCACAATCCTCAGATCTCAGCTTCTTGAGTAGCTAGGATTTCCAGTGTAGGCTACCAATGCTTTTGAAAGAGACCTGTGATTGAGCTGTAGTATGATTAACTTGATCAAACATTGCTGTGGTGATGGTGGTAACAGCCTGCTTCCTGGCTGCCACGTCTGTCTGTCTCTCCAGAAGGTGAACAACTCATTTAATAAACAGGAAGAAACTTTGTCACAAGGAAGTCACCTGGCTAAGCAAGGGTTTGTTCTGGGTGGCTGACCCAAACTTTCATTTAAGCTAGCCTGGGACTTCCTCGTTTGGGCATCTTTAAGCATTTGAATTCCTGAGTGAGAAGTGGAGGTCAGATATCAGCAAGGGTGTCTAGGAACAGAGTGGGAACAGAACAGCCCTGTCCCAGGCTGAGGAGAGGGCCATCTCCATGGGACTTCCAAGGGGGAGCTAAGAGTGTGGTAAATCTGGAGACTGGTTCTACGTGTCACCAGCAAAACCACCTAACCAGGCTAGCCTCACTCAGAAAATGAGAATTCTGGAAACATGGAGGAGAGACAAGAATGACACGCCAATGTGTAACAGCAGAAAATCCCTTCATTCAAAATCTTGTAGTATGCGCAGTCAGAGCATTGTTAGGGAAGCCAGTGCTAAACATTTCCCCTCTCTGGGCTCATTCCATTTTTACAAAATGTTTATGGAAAACCTGCTATGTACCAGACATATGCTAGACATTGGAAATTTTTTTATTTTATTTTTTTTGTCGGTCGTGGGGCCTGAACTCTGGGCCTGGGTGCTGTCCTTCAGCTCTTTAGCTGAAGGTGAGTGCTCTACCACTTGAGCCACAGTGCCACTTCCAGCTTTTTTTTTTTCTGCTTATGTGGTGCTGTAGAATTGAACCCAAGGCTTCATGTATGCAAGACAAGCACTCTACCACTAAGCTACCTTCCCAGCCCAAGGAAATGATTTTTTTTTAAAGGGAGAAATAGTATAGCCTTTCATGTCTAGGAGTTCTCTGGACACAAGCCAAGCTGTGATAAGAATCAAGTTCAAGTGAAAACAGGAGGCCCAGGCTGACCTAAGGGGCTTAGAGCCCTATATTTTATCCTTAGCAGCACACAACAAACAAACACATTTTTAAAAATCCAAGAGGCTAAGAGAACAAGGAGCCAGGAAGGTTAATTCTTCTAGGAAATTTAAGAAGGCTTTCTGTAAGAGACTAGATTATAAATAGGGGCTGGTGGTTCACATCTATAATCCTAGCTACTCTGGAGGCTGAGATTTGAGGATTGCTGTTCAAAGCCAGCTGGAGAAGGACAACTGGTTTGACACATTGTAAAATGATTTTGCACTGGGGCTGGGAAGGTGGCTCAGTGGTAGAGCGCTTGCCTTGCATGCATGAGGCCCTGGGTTTGATTCCTCAGCACCACATAAGCAAAAAGAAAAAAGCCAGAAGTGGTGCTGTGGCTCCAGTGGTAGAGCGCTAGCCTTGAGCTGAAGAGCTGAGGGACAGCACCCAGGCCCAGAGTTCAGGCCCCACGACCAGACCCCCCCAAAAAAATGATTTTGCACTAATAGGTTGTAATCTGTGGTTGGGCAAGACCCTTGGGCTCTGTTCCTTAACACCAGTGAGAAAGAATATAGTCATACTCTGGCCAGTGGGACCTGGTAAACAGTGTCTGTTTATCCAATCTGAGATCATTTCAGCATGGACAGTCTGGAGTTGCAGGCCTAAGGGTGGCTAGAGGGAAAAGACTGGAACAAATGCTCAGTGGAAGCCAGAGGGGAATGTCCAGAGGCCAGGCTGGGTGGGTACCCATCACTTCCCCAAAGTGAGGAAGATGTGCAGAATGTTCTGGAGGATCCTGCAAAGCCCTGAAGTTGACCAGAAAGGGCTGTTCCTTTCCAGCCCTTGCTAATCATACTGGGAATTATCTCCTACACAGAAAGCAGGAATCCTTAATCCCAAAGCTGTATGGTTTTTGTTGGATTGGATCTTTTCCAAGGGACATGTCCCTGTTGTACTAGAGAATGAGGGAGTCCCTTACTGCCAAGCCTAATCACAGGTATCTTGTTTCATTTCAGGATGTGGTTAGTTCCTCAAGGAACTAACCTAAGGATCCAGAGAAAAACCTTCAGGCAGCCAGGTTGGATTGAGAGAACAGATGCCTGGGAAGAGCTCCATTTAACCCTAGGTCTTTCTTCCAGGAAAAATAAAAGAAGCAAAGACCATCTCTATTGTATGAGCCACAGGCAGTGCCTAAGGAGTAACCTGGATGATTTCCATGAGGAAGGCATTCCTAGAGGAGGTGAGTCTGGAGCTATTATCACTAGCTATAATATTACCATGCTTTTGTCTCTAGCTGGGGTCTCTTACTTGGAGTTGGAAGATAAACAGAAAGTAACAGGAAAAATGTAGCCTGCAGAGTAGTCAACACAGGTCTGTAGCCCTATATCTGGGGCTGGTAGTTCCAGAGTTGAAGTTCTAGCTAAAGAGAACCCATCAAAGCTGGGTAGCAGTGTCTCATACCTATAATCCTAACCAAGATTTGAGGATCATGGTTTAAAGCCAGCCTGTGCAGGAAAGTCCATGAGACTCTTAGCTCTAATTAACCACCAAAAAGCTGGAAGTAAAGATGTGGCTCAAGGGGTAGAGTGCCAGACTTGAGTGAAAAAGCTAACATACACACACACACACAAAGAGAACCTGTTAGCCAGGCACCTGTGGCTCACTCCTGTAATCCTAAACTACGCAGGAGTCTGAGATCTGAAGATCATGGTTCGAAGCCAGTCAAGCAGGAAAATTCACAAGGCTCTTATCTCTAATAAACTACTTTTTTTAAAAAAAGCCAGAAATAGAGCTGTGGTTCAAGTGGTAGAATGCTAGCCTTGAGCAAAAAAACTCAGGGACAATGCTCATGCCCTAGTTCAAGTCCAGGACCAGCACAATAAAACCCTTTGTCCTTTGTGCTGGTCCAGCATAGTTCAGTCACCTCGGATAAGAAGTCTCCATTTTTCTACCTTGAAACCTTCACAATCCTACAGGGAACTTTTGTTAGCTTAGCACTTAGGTCTATGCTATTGTTCTGTTTTCATTTATTAACTTTTGAATAGACAAGGCAGACAGGGCCCAAAGTACCAAAGAATGTTCAATAAAAGGTTTTTTTGTGTTTTTTTTTTGCCGGGCACCTGTAGCTCATGCCTATAATCCTAGCTACTAAGGAGATCTGAGGATCACAGTTTAAAGCCAGCCTGGGCAGGAAAGTCCTTGAGACTCTTATCTCCAATAAACCACCAGAAAACGGTAAGTGGCACTGTGGTTCAAGTGGTAGAACACCTCCCTTAAGCTGAAGAGCTCAGGGTCAGCACCCAGGCTCAGAGTTCAAGACCCATGGCCTACCAAAATAAAACAAAAAGCAAAAAAGGTCTTTTTCCTGCTCCTTTGTCCTGGGACAGGTGCTACCTGGACTCTATATTCCAACATCTTGTTCTCTAGCAAGACCTTTAAATCCTCTGGGGAAAGGAATGGACTCTCCCACCCCTGTGTCCCACCTAGCCCATCTCTTGAGGGAACTTTTAATACCACATGCCTCCTCTGTCATCAGCATTGCTGCTATTTGGGGTCAGATCCCCAGGGCCCTCCTAGCTGATCACCCCGCTGCCAAGCAGCTCCCCTGGGTTTGACATGCCCCACCAGCTGTCATGTTCTTCCTGGAATGCTGGGCTTCTAACCCATCCTTGATTGTTCCTCCTATCTTAGATCAAGGGCAAAGTCCTGAACACAATGCACAAAGGCTTCAACCACTTCTCCACGTCTGCCTTCTGCTGCTCCGGTGTGATTTCATCCTCCCACCACCCCCATGGCTCAAGGTCATCTAATTGACCATGCTATTTCCCACCCCTGGACCTTTCCTTGTGCTCTTTTCTCTGCCTGAAGTGTGCTCTCCTCACCCAGTCAATTCCTATGCATGTTGGTACTTAGCCAAATGTTTCCCCCTTGTAGGATTTCCTGAACTTTTGATTTACTAAGTTTTCTGCACCCATCTTCCTTCAGTACCCAAGAGTACCTATCTCATGCTGCCTTCTTTTTGTTGTTGGTTTGATGATTTTTGTTGTTGTGTCTGTACTGGGGCTTGAACTCAAGGCCTAAGCACTGTCTCTTAGCTTTTTCACTCAAAGCTGGTACTCTCCCACTTGAGCCACACATCCATTGCCAGCTTATTTCTGGTTAAGAGTCACAGGGATTTGTCTTCCCAGGCTGGCTTTAAACCAAGATCCTTTAATCTCAGCTTCTTGAGTAGCTAAGATCATAGGTGTGAGCCACTGAGCCTGGCCTGATTGAATTTTTGATGATGCTACTGATTCTGGTAGGAACCCCTGTCTCCCTCAGTCCAGAGTGAGCCCTGTGCCTCTGCTGAGATCATGGTGACCACATATTCCCCAGATGCAAATGACTCCTGACACCAGGCTTCCCCACAGACAGGAGATTGTAGGTTTAAATAACAGAATTAAATAGCTCAATCTGTGTCACTTTTGCAAAACATGCGAAGGCTAGGAAGTGTCGCCTTGGCTAAGGACCAGGTACGCCAAGATCATTGCTGGGAAGCTGTGCGGGGAATTGTCAATTATAACAACAGACAGGCTTGATATCATTTAGTAAATGACAGGTCCTCTGACCACTATTCTGCCTACATTATCTGACCTAATCCTCTGCACAATCCTGTGAGTTAGTTACCTCCACTTTATAGATGAGGAAATTGTGGCTTAAAGGGAATTAAGTAAAGCACTCATCCAGTGGTCACACATGGCTAATGATTTTTGAGATAACCAATGGTTTTTGACACCTTACCATGCACAGAAACTGCCAAACTTTTTCTATGATTTTTTAAAACTCAATCCTTTGGTCAACCTTAGGAGGTAAATGCTACTATTAGAAGGGGCAGCTGGGCACTTGTAATCCTAGTTACTCAGGAGGCTGAGACTGGAGGATCACAAGTTTGAAGGCAGCCTGTGTGAAAAAGCTCATGAGACGCTCATCTCCAATTAAAAGCCAGAGATGGAATTATAGTTCAAGTGGTAGAATAACAGCCTTAAGTGAAAAAGCCAAGAGACAGCACTCAGGCTCTGAGTTTAAAGCCCCAGTACTGGTACAAAAATAAAGGGGCAGGCTGGGATGGTGGCTCAGTGGTAGAGTGCTTGCCTGAAGCCCTGGGTTCAATTCCTCAGTACTGTGTAAACAGAAAAAGCTAGAAGTGGCACAGTGGCTCAAGTGGTAGAGTGCTTGCCTTGAGCAAAGGACAGTACCCAGGCTCTGAGTTCAAGCTTCAGGATTGGCAATTTAAAAAAAAAGTATGTATGTGTGTGTGTGAGAGAGAGAGAGAGAAAGTATGCTGGGATGTAGCTCAGTGTCCTGGGTTCCATCCCCAGAACCAAAAAAGAGAAGACAAAAATAAAAATAAAGGGTCTGGGAATGTGGCCTAGTGGTAGAGTGCTTGCCTATCATGCATGAATCCCCGGGTTCAATTCCTCAGTTCCACATACACAGAAAAAATCAGAAGTGGCTCTACGGCTCAAGTGATAGAGTACTAGCCTTGAGCTGAAGAGCTGAGGGACAGCGCCCAGGCCCATAACTGACATACATACATACATACACACATACACACATACATACATACATACATACATAAAATAAAAGGGAGAGGGCAGAGCTAGTCAGAGCATTAATGTTACTGCTCAACCAATGACCCATACTGTTCCAGCACTCCCCACACAAGCCTTTGCCAACATTCGTCTTCTGCACTGTTGGACACATGTGCCTGGGGTAGAGGCTGGAGAGACCATTTCTGGTCCTGCCTGGGAGATGGAGTCATGGCATCTTAGACTTCAAAACTTGCTACAGATGAGAGGATAAGAAGAATACAGTTGTCTCCTGGACAACATGACTTTGAAATTTTTGGGCCCACTCAAATGTATTATTTTGGAAGTGAATTTTCAATAATTTAAAAACACTGACAACTGGGCACTGGAAGCTCAAGCTTGTCATTCCTAGCTACTCAGGAGGCTAAGATCTAAGGATCACAGGTTGAAGCCAGCCCAGGTAAGAAAGTCCTTAAGACTCTTTCCTCCAATTGACACAGAAAGCTGGTAATGGAGGTGTGTGGCTTAAGTGGTAGAGCACCAGCCAAGTGGTAGAGCAGAAAAGCCAAAAGGGAATGTAAGGATCTGATTTTAAGCCCTAGTACTGACACAAAAACAAAACAAAAACACCTGACAGATGAACTTAAGAATATTGAGGGGAAAATAGATATATCATGAATACATTATGTAGATCAAATATCACTTACTATGAGAAAATATGTGCACATCTGTTATGAAAAATTAAACTTTATCAGAATTTATGCACATAAACACAGAGTATATATGGTAACACTTGATGTTAGGGAGTAATGTTGCAAGTTGAAAGATGCTATTTGATCATATCTGGGGCCTAGGGTGACACTCTTGATAGTGTGTGATTAGCACATACAAGGCCTTGTTTTCAATCTCCAGCAAAAAATAAAATGAAATAAATCATAACTGCCTACAGTCCATTAATACATAATGCCCTGTAATCATTCTTGCCCCCTCTCCTGTTGCTATCATGGTGAGCCTGAGTGTTGTGTGTTGTGTGTCCCCTTAAAATATGGCATGATAGGGGCTAGGAAGGTGGCTCAGTGGTAGAGTGCTTGCCTTACACTCATGTAGCTCTGGGTTAAATTCCTCAGCACCACGTAAGCAAAAAAAGAGCTGGAAGTGGTGCTGTAGCTCAAGTGGTAGAGCACTCGCCTTGAGCTGAAGAGCTGAGGGACAGTGCCCAGGCCCAGAGTTCAGACCCCATGACTGACAGAAAAAAAAAAATATGGCATGACACTGTCTCCACATGAGGAAGTTGTTCTTCCAGAAAATTGAGTTGTCACATTCTTTTTTTTTTTGTTAATAGTGGGGCTTGAACTCTGGGCCTGGGCGCTGTCCCTCAGCTCTTCAGCTCAAGGCGAGTGCTCTACTGCTTGAGCCACAGTGCCACTTCCAGTTTTCTGGTGGGTTATTGGAGATAAGAGTCTCATGGCCTTTCCCACCCTAGCTGGCTTTGAATGTGATCCTCAGATCTCACCCTCCTGAATAGCCAGGTTTACAGGCATGAGCCACCAGCCCGGCCATCACATTCATTCTTTCCCTAGAGATGACCCACAGTCTATCGGTTAAAAGTATATTCCTTTGCTAACAAATTTTTCAATCACTTCCACTACATTTTGCATCTTGCCTGAATTCT